TAAATTAAATATGATAACTACAATCATTAAGATACCATCTATATCCTATATAATTTAAGAAGATTTTGTTGATTTGTCGTATGGAGCGCGTTTCCAGGTCATATGCTGCCTTTAAAGAATAGCAATGAAGGGAGTTTCCATTTTTTAGAAGTGACCAAATTAACTTCAATTTGTTGTAGAACACATAACTTAGTAGATATAAAAAGAATTTTTTTTTTCAGAAAAGTCCTTAAACTTTAACCATATTAACGAAAACGCCATATTTGATTGTTTATTTTCAAAAAAGTTCTCAAAATTTTCAGAAAAGCCCTGAAAATCAACACTAGCTAGGAAAAAGTGTTTTTTTTTTTAAGTGTTTACCAGTTTTTTTATGCTAAACTATAAAAAAAAGATTGACTTTTGTTTTAATAGAGCCAAACTTCAAGGACTTTATTGCAAATTTTCCTTTTTTAAAATATGTCAATAGTTTATTTATTTATTTTATTTGTATAGATTGGAGTACCTATTCATCATACTTAATGTTTACATCTTCATATTTAACTTTTTTTTAATCGATCCGCATAATACACGTGTCTCATAATTAGTGTGATATCAAACAATCTGAATCTGATCAAATAAGAGTCAATCTCTTACCACACTCGGTAAAAAAAACATATCAAACCGCCCCTATCAGTTCCTTGGTTATATGCTTTGATAACTTGCCGATTTGAATGATCTCTTAAACCAAAATGTTTAGGATAATTTGGTAGAAATTTATATGTTTATTACTTGTCTTACGTGATTGATACAACTTGTTTGCTTATGTGTAGTTTCTTAGTACATTGTTAGTTGGGTATGTAATGTTCTACAATTACAATTGGTATGTAATTAATTTAATTTTTGTACGACTAAATATTAATTTTATATCTTGATTTGTATTTGCTACTTTACGTGATAAAGTCAAAATTTACCAATTATGTGAAAATGTACGTGCTCATCCACTAGCTATTTGAATGCATTGTCTCATAAGAAATGATATTAAAAGGCAAACAATATTTAGAGTTTGTGATTGAACACACAAAACAGCGGGGGTCTACATTTTAATGAGCTACATGTGAAGACATGAAGTGCATTAAACTATCAATATCTATAGTAATGCTTGCATCATGATTAAACCATAAAATATTATTAAAACTGAATTTAACTTCCACCATATCCTTATGAATGGACATTTATATATAACGAGTTAGAGTATTTTCATAATATTATAATTATTACAATTATATTTAACATATTAGTTGTCTACAAAAAAAAAATGAAAAAATGAAAATAAAATAGGCCTATTTATTTTGACTTGATTTCATTTTAACTCATACCCGAACCCTCCCATCTTGTTATTTGTTAGTTAACAAATGATGAAAGTTAATTTAACGCAAATTTTTATTTAGACAACTTATTTTTTAAATACAATAAGGGCCGATGCAAACATTTTTTCATGCCTGAGGCAAGAGAAAAAATAAGGCTCCTCAAAAACACAAATTTTACAAAAGTCCACTAGTATATGAAAAAAAAAAAAATATATTTTTAACATTTTTCAGACGCCATATACAAAAGATTGAAAACATTTAGACAAATTACATAGCCAAACCTGGATAATGTAATCAAATTTGAGATGTAAAACAAACAACATTCACAAGATCGAATGCTTCTTATCTGGTTGAAACCGAGATGTGAGAATTTTGATAATGATTGAACTATAAAGAAACATTCACTTCCTTATATGATCTTAAGGATGAACAATCTTCAAGAGGATGGACTATTCTTCATAGTGTGGTAAAGAGACGTTTTAATTTTCCATTTAATAATGTTTCATCCTTTGTTTTTCAACTTCTAAGTTTTGGTGCGATTAGAGTTGACAAAAATCGACCCAAACCACAAATCCAACCTGAACCCAACCCAAAATTAACAGGTTGAGTTGAGATTTTCAACCCATTTAAATGGATCAACTTGTCTAACCCATTTAATTAAATAGGTTGGGTCGGATAAAAATTATCAACCTATCAACCCATTTAACTTTAATTTATATTTAATTTAATAATTATTTAAATATTATCATGTATTAATCTAAGTATTTGTTTATAGATTACAATGTTCGTATTATTATTTATGTTTTAAAATAATTGAATCATAATTCATACATTTTTTCTTGGCACCGAAACACTAGTCACTCTAAAAAATACTTAGAAACTACATATCATTAATGTTAGAAAAAACATCATGTGGTTTCCCAAAATCTGAAGTTTAGTCCCCGTGGTTTAAAAACATCATAGATGGTCCCTGTGCTTTCAAAACTTTTGACGATTGGTCCTTATTGCTAACTCCGTTAAATTTTGTCTATTAATTGAAGAGCATTTTCGTCATTTCACTACCACAGGGACCATTTATGATGTTTTATCTTATTTAAAAAAAAAGTTAAACATAAAATATAAAGCGTCCCACCTCTCTCTCTCTCTCTCTCTCAAAAACCGCACCTTAATGCCTCCTTCCTTTCCCCTTCGTTCATACCTTTCTTCCTTCGGTCCATCATCACCGACCCTTATATGTTGCTCAGCTATCAAATCGACATCTAAAACATCAGAGTAATGATCTCAAGCTTCCTTAGTCCCTAGGAATTTCAATGGAATCCCTTCGTGTTTACAGATTGTAGCATATGTGCATAAAGTACTGATTATGTTCATCATGCTATAAGGCGAAAAATCGAAGATAGTTCCAGGTCGATGAACGAACCAGGTTAATCCTTGCTTCTGTTCCACAACGAGGTAGACCTTCGTGAAAAGGGGGATCATGAGCGACTTTTCCCTACATACAACAACGAGTATATGACGTTGATTCCACAGTCCAATCAGATTTAGAAGGTCGCCGGATTCCACCGTGCATTCAGATCTACAAGATCTAGTGTTCAGTTTTTTCACTATCTCTCTATGGTATGTTCGACGGAATCAACCACCACCACAATATGTTCGCCTGAGATGTAGAAATCAACATTGATCTGGCGGTTTTTGAGCATGGTGGGACTGGGTACAGTGGGGCGGTGGAATTACCATGGTGACTTCTTCCATTTATGTTGATTCAAATGATAAACCTTTTTTTGTTGGGATTTTGATTTCTTTACATGAGCGAAATCTGAAATGCATCCTATTGTTTGTATAAAAGATGCTCTGGAGCCATTTATTTCAACATGGAAACATATATGTGCATTCTTCGTTGACCCACCTGAAGAATCAAACTCAAGAAAAACTCTCCCATGTTCTTTGATTTGATCCTTTTACATAGACATGTTCTTGCAAGTGGAGAGAGGGACCTCGATTTTTTGGAAGGTGTATATATGTGTATCACGATTTTTTGGGTCTCAATTTTTACAGGGATTTGAGGTTTTGAAAGAGGGAAGATGAAGGGTAGTTTGGAGAGAGAGAGAGAGGAGTGGGACCCTTTATATATTAAATAATATATATTTTTTAAAATAAGATAAAACATCATAAATGGTCCCTATCGTAGTGAAATGACGAACATGCCCTTCAATTAACGGACAAAACTTAACGGAGTTAGTAATAAGGACCAATCGTCAAAAGTTTTGAAAGCATAGGGACCATCTATGATGTTTTTAAACCATGGGGACTAAATTTCAGATTTTGAGAAACCACAGGGACCATTTATGATGTTTTTTTCTTATTTGAACAATTTCTTTGTATATGTGAATTAAGATTGTGCTTTTGTCATACTTTGAAATTTTATATAAGTCTATGACTAATTTAAATGGTGTAATCTTTAGTTAATTAATTAATTTATTTTTATTTTAAATGAGTAGTTTAACCAATTTATTTAATAGGTTGGATTGAGAACTATATAAACGGGTCAACCCGATGACAACCCATTTAGCTGAAATGTTTGGTTGGGTTGAAAATATCAACCCTTTTAAATAAACAGGTTGAGTTGAGTTGAAATTTTCAACCCAATTAATAAATGGGTTGAACCCAAACCCAATCCAGATCGACCCATTGCCAGCTGTAGGTGCGATGCATTCCTTCTCTGGTTCTTAATTTTTGTGTTGGTGATCTAATTCTCCAAAACATTAAAATTGAATGGCATACAGTACAATATACAATTATTTGGGCTTGCGAAACTATTTTCTGAAACGAAGAATATTAATATTAATATTAATTAAATAATATGAGTGTGTAATACTGACTAAAAGTTTTGGGCTTCTATGATCATTATGTCCCGATTCCTGAATGGTCGCGTATGTTGCCCACCATTTCGAACGGGCATGCACAAAACATGATATTATTCGCGGAAATATATTACCTAAAATTTGTTATTGATTTATAAATTCATCCTTGTTTTTTTAATCTTATTACCATCATCAAAAAACAAAATTATAATATCTATGACTGTTATTTAGTATGACCAATATACTGTATTAATAAACAAACTACTACAAAGTTATCCCATGTTTAATAATAACGAATGCAAGCATAATGTAATCTTTGTTTCAAAACACAAGTATTTTCGTTTATATGAATATTGTATTCTATCAATTTTTTACGGTAAACGTCATTTTAATTTTACTATCATTCGGACAAGATATAGAGTTTTATTACAAAAAAGTCATTATTAATAGAATTAGTTTATAATATTATTTTACTCTATATAAAATGACAAATATATATTTTTTAGTATATTAGTATTACAATGATTGAGAGATGCTAGGTGATATAAAATATATTAGTATTACGTTTCTAACTTATATTTTACGGTAACCGACACTATGCTGGGAAATAGGCATGAAGCACCCGTCACGCTAACTTATACCTTTATACTAACCTACGCCTCTCAGGTTCTTCTTTGGACTTTTGCACAACCTCACCCTAACTTACGCCTACGATGATAACTTACGCTCCTCCGGTTCTTCTTGGACTGACTGCACACAATTGATGCAGTAAAACCAAAGTGCATATATTAATATGCAAATCCCTCGTCTGTCATCATCACCTACACTTGAATCTTCTCTTTCTCTCTCTATAGATTTATATTTCTCTCTCTACAATTGGATCCTCAAGTAAGTATCATCAAATCATCAATCACTTCATGTTTGATTCTGTTTTCATGACCTCGATCTGCTTTCATTGACTTGTTGATTTCAATCAAGAACGAACTGCATTCACTTGAAAAATTTTCCGTCAATAATAGCAATGTTGCTAATCTGATCTTACTTCGGTTTCATTCTGTGCTTCGATTTTCGTTGTCAGGTTAAGTTTTCCTTTTTTTTTTTTTTCACTTTGTTTTAGATTCATTCTCTTGATTCATTGATTTTTTTATTGTTATGTATGTGTTTATGATTTTGTTGATTTAAAACCTAATGAGACGCCGTTCACCGGTGACTCCTTCAACGGATCATATGGAAAAGGGGACTAATAAGTCCCAACAGTCTCGTCTCTGTGTATTAGGGTTACTCTGTGCCTTCTTTTGGGGTTTCTTATTGTACTTCCATTTTGTTATTATTGGTGGTAGATCTTTTCAAGTTAATCCCATTTCATCTGAGTCTAGGACTCTTGAACCTATCCCCGTTAGTCGTCCAATTCCGGAGGTTGATATCGACCATGTAGAGAATTATGATAAATCTGAGAGTAGAGATTTGGTTGTAGCTCAACTGAAAACACCCAAACCAGAGCCTGTAATTGAACCAAAAACTGATGATCTTGATAAGCCAGAAGTTTTTCATTCCGTTACACCTCAGCCTAAAATCCCCCAACCAGACCCTGTAATTGAACAGAAAAACGATGATCTTAATAAGCCGAAAGTTTTCCCTTTTGTGAAGGCATTGAAAACCACGGAAAACAAAAGTGATCCATGTGGTGGGAGATATGTATATGTTCATGATCTTCCTCCAAGATTCAATGAGGATATGCTTAAGCAGTGTAGGAGTCTTAGCAAATGGACTAACATGTGTAAGTTCACCACGAATGCTGGACTTGGACCTCCATTGGAGAACACTGAAGGGGTGTTTTCAGATAACGGATGGTATGCCACAAATCAGTTTGCAGTGGATGTTATTTTCAGTAACAGGATGAAACAGTACGAGTGCTTGACTAAAGATTCATCCCTTGCTGCTGCCATCTTTGTGCCTTTCTATGCAGGTTTTGATATTGCAAGATATCTTTGGGGATACAATATATCAACCAGAGATGCTGCTTCTCTTGATCTTGTTGATTGGTTACAGAAGAGACCTGAATGGAGCATAATGGGTGGAAAAGATCATTTTCTTGTTGCGGGTAGGATCACATGGGATTTCAGGAGATTAAGTGAAGAGGAAACCGATTGGGGGAATAAGCTTTTGTTTTTACCAGCTGCTAAAAACATGTCAATGCTTGTGGTAGAATCAAGTCCATGGAATGCGAATGATTTTGCAATTCCTTATCCCACCTACTTTCATCCATCAAAGGATTCTGAAGTGTTTGCATGGCAGGATCGGATGATGAATCTAGATAGGAAATGGCTCTTCTGTTTTGCTGGTGCACCACGCCCTGATAATCCTAAATCCATTAGAGGTCAGATTATCGATCAATGCAAGAATTCAGATGTTGGGAAGCTTTTAGAATGTGATCTTGGAGAGAGCAAATGCCATTCCCCTAGTAGTATAATGCAGATGTTTCAAAGCTCGGTTTTTTGTCTACAACCTCAAGGTGATTCTTACACAAGAAGATCAGCTTTTGATTCGATGTTGGCTGGTTGTATTCCGGTTTTCTTTCATCCTGGTTCTGCATACACACAGTACACTTGGCATCTTCCCAAAAATTACACAAAGTATTCGGTTTTCATCCCAGAGGATGATCTTCGTAAGAAGAATATCAGTTTAGAGGAACGACTGGGTCAAATCCCCGTTGACCAGGTCAAGATGTTGAGAGAAGAGGTCATAAATTTGATCCCGAGGCTAATATACGCAGACCCACGTTCAAAGCTAGAGTCTCATAAAGATGCTTTTGATGTATCTGTTCAAGCGATTATCAACAAGGTGACAAGATTGAGGAAAGATATGATTGATGGGCGCACTGATGATGATTTCATTGAAGAACTTAGTTGGAAGTATGCATTGCTAGATGAAGGTGAGTATGTGGGTGTTCATGAATGGGATCCCTTTTTCTCTAAACCAAAACCGAATGATGGAAACACCGATTCAGATGGGTCTTCGGCTGAAGTAGCAAAGAATTCTTGGAAAAACGAGCAAAGAGATCACTCATGAGTCATGAACAACTTTGTTCAGAAGCATAGAGATGTAATGGAGGAGGGAGGTATGTTTGGTTAAATGTCGTTTATACATGTCATATTAGAGGTTACAATCTAGTGTATTGTCTACTCGTTCAGTTGTTGAAGCAGGATAAACTATAATTTTGCTACTAATATATAGTTTGTCATTTTGTCAGATTTGTGATTCTTTGTAATGATAATATATACACATACAACATGGTATTGCATGAACTCTTGTTTCTTTTTCAATACCATTTAAACAAGAATGCCCAAGTTTACCTCTGTTTATCTTTATCTAGTATGATTTTATTTAGGGTTGATTGTAAAGAATATGACAACCAACATTGGTTGCTGAAATGGATCAAATGTCTACCTAAAGTGTATTTAGATGTTTACGACCTTCTTATGTATATATTTAATTTTTATTTTAGTAGTATAGATTTTGTATCCATATGTCCTAAAGAGAAAAGGTGTTGAAAGGTCAAACTCCCATCCATATATAAAAGTCAGTCAATTGTACACATGGCAGTTTTGGGGAGGTTGAGGTTTTAGACAGACTAGTGTATGTATGTTGTAGGGAAGAAAGTAGAAAGTTCATCTCCAGGCTGTAAACGTGTTTAGCACCAGTATTGATATTGGTGTTTGCAATTAATCGGACACATGACAGTTTTTGGGGAGATTGAGGGAGGGAGGGTTTTGACTATGTTGAGGGAATCTCGAGTCTCCAGGTTGTAAACGTGTTTAGCACCACTTATTGATATTTGTTGAATAAAAAACATAAAATTCCAATTCAGAGCTGCTGATTAGGGAGGTTTTTGATTTTTTTTTCCTTTCAATTGCATATTTATTTTCATATCAATAGTATCATTGCGGTTTGCCGACCGACGGTACGGCAAGGTTATGGAGGAATGCTTGGATCACTCCTTGGGGAGTGCTTACCATGTTATCCTCCGCAACCACTTTATTGTTCAGGGCCCCCATTGTGCTATAGAGTTGAACAGAACCATAGTAGTATCACACTATGAGACCAGCCCAATCTTCGGCGATTTTTTTCGGTCTCTATCTGGTCTACATCAGTTCGGTTCCGCTTTTTGCATTTGCATTTGCATTTTTAGGTTTAGATTCTCGTGAGGTGTTTTGGAAACCTTTTTGGTAGAGACTAGATTAAGGATATGGGCAGCAGTCTCTAAGACATACCCTCAGAATGAGATAGGTAACCAAGCTCGACTCATCATGGAACGAACCATGTCTAGCAAGGTTCTATTACGCCTCTCAGCCACACCATTAAGCTCCGGTGTCCTAGGTGGCGTCAATTGTGAAACAATTCCACATTCCTTAAGATAGTCAAGGAACTCGATACTAAGATACTCTCCTCCACGATCGGATTGCAACATCTTTATCTTCCTGCCCAATTGATTCTCCACTTCTTGCTTAAACTCTTTGAACTTTTCAAAAGTTTCTGACTTATGCTTGATTAAGTAAATATACCCATATCTACTATAATCATCAGTAAAAGTCACATAGAATCGGTTAGCATCCGTTGTGGCGGTTCTGAATGGTCCACACACATCAGTGTATATGAGATCCAACAGACCTTCACCCCTTTCACAAGTACCAATGAAGGGTGACTTGGTCATCTTTCCAAGTAAACAAGATTCGCAAGTGTCATCCGACTTTAAGTTGAATGACTCCAAAACTCCATCCTTTTGGAGTTGGGCTATGCGCTTCTTGTTGACATGTCTAAGACGACAATGCCACAAGCATGCTTTATCCAAATCATTGGAAGAATCAATATTCAACACATTATTTCCTAAGTTATCTACAACCATCACAGTTTCATATATACCATTGCAAGGTAATGCTTCAAAATAAAATACACCATTACAATAATCATAAATACCACCATTTTCATTATTAAAGGAAAAGGTAAAACCTTGTTTATACAAACTGTGAAAGGAAATAACATTTCTCGCCATATCGGCCAAGTAACAACAATTATTCAAATCTAAATTAAAACCATTACTAAGCAATAAAGAATAAACTCCAATCTTGGTAACATGCGACACTTTCCTATTTTCCATGATTAAGTTTATCTTCCCGTGCTCCACATCCCTACTTCTTTTTAGTCCCTGCAAATCAGAACAAATGTGAATACCACAACCTGTATCAAGGACCCAAGAATTAGCATGTGATGGGTTATTAGATTGAATAGTGTAAATACCTGCAAAGGAGGGTTTGATATTCCCATCCTTTATGTCCTGCAAGTACTTGAGGCAGCTTCGTTTCCAATGCCCTTTATCATGACAGTAGAAGCATTCTGCTTCCTTTGGATTGGAAGAGGGATTAACAGAACCAGATTTGGTCCACTTGAAGAGGATCCATCAAGAGACTTTCCCTTGCGGCTTTTGTAGGGAGCCTTCCTCTTCTTTCCCTTCCCATGTCCAATTGACAGAACAGGTGCAAAAGTAGTAGTAGGAGTAGACACAACCGTTTTGCCTTTCAGGTTGCTTTCTGCAGTCCTTAGAAGGCCTTCAAGCTTGCTAGGAGTGACCTCCTCCTTGTTCATATGATAAGTCATATGAAACTGATCATAATAAGAAGGTAAAGAGTGTAGAATAATATCTATGGCCAACTCTTAATCAAAATTATAAGGGATCCACAGGGATAATTAGATCCGTGGTACTGTTTTCCAGTAGGAACCTCGAGTTAGCAGAAGTTGAGTAGTCAGTTGAGAGACAAGTGGACTGGATTCAGCGGTAATGATTCGGTATGGGTGGCCTGTCAGGGAGTCAGACCATCTTGAGACTACATATTTCAGACTGGATGGATGTGATCATGTTGCAAGGAATTCGTTCATCATCAGGTGTTAGAACCCTGTGAGGATTGGTTACAGTTGCCCGAGAATTCTGGCCATGTTACTTGTGTGGTGTGGCATGTAAGGAATGGTCAGGAATGATTTCGAGGACGAAATCTAATTTAAGTGGGGGAGAGTTGTAACACCCCGTTTATTTAATAAATAAATAGACGAAATTAATGAATGAATCGTAACCCTAAAATTAATAATTATATAGCAAGGTGTTGGTTTGGGAAGCCAAATGCCATAAGTTGGAGTATTCGGGGTCAAAGTTTAAATTCGAGATTTATTTTGTAAAATTTTTAGAAGACAGGGGGATGTTTGGTAAGTATTAGACCTAATATGAAAGGATTTATGAACACAGGGGCTAAAGAGTTAATTATGGACCTCATTTGAAAATAATTGTAGAGGGAGGGGCCACTTAGTAAAATATGGGACTTAATTTGTAAGGGATTTACATGGATGGGGTTAAAAGGGAAAAATATGGGCGGACTTTGAAAGAAAATGTGAAAGGAGGGTCTAATTGTGATATTATGGAAACTAGTTAAGGGGATCGGGGTATTTAAACCCGTCACCCCCGTCCCAACCCTAACCCTAACTCATAGAGTGCAATCGCCATCTCTCCACCTTGTGCCTCCCTTCTGGCGCCGCACCACCTTACGCCTCCTCCACCGGCGTTGTTCTTCTGCCGCTGAATACGTGAGCCGCCGCCGTTTCCGATCAGCGACGACGACAAGGACCACCGATATCCACCTCCCCGTTCGACTGCCACCGTCTTTCCGGAGTTCTCTCAACCGCCACCTCATTCGAAGGAACCGGGTGTCGCGACGTCGTGGTCATCTCCGATGAAGGTACCATCTCCGCCCCTTGTTGCGTTCATCACCACTCTTCCACCTGCGATCACGATGTCGGCGCTTCCTCAACAAACTCTTGCCGCCGGGCGTCGTTAGTAGCCGAGAAGAACCACCATGGCTGCTGGCCATGGTGGCTGTCGCTGTCAACACCGCCGCCGCCGCCGTCGGTCAAGAACGACGTTGCTGCCGTTCGATGAACGCCACCAGGTAGGTGGCTGCCTTCGGATCTCTAGAGAGGCGTGTGTGTGGTCGCTATCTCGTTGCCGCCGTGGCTGCCTTTTCTGCCTTATTCCACCGCCACTAGCCACCGTGAGAGGTGGCTGTGGGTGTATTTATGGGTATGTGTTCATGTGTTATTGTTGTTTCCGATTGTTATGAGATTGTGTGTGTGTTTGGGGATGTTGTGTCGCCGGAAAGCAAGAGCACCACCATGGCAGCCAACCATGGTGGTTGCCGCCAGTTATAGCTTTTCTGCCACCGTGTACCACCACCGGCCACCATTAGGGTGGCTGTGTATGTGTGTTTATTTTAGTATGTGTGTGTGTTATTGAGATTCGGGTTGTAAAATGTAATTAGCAAAAAGAATAATGAAAGAAACTCAAAACCACCACCGTAAGGTGTTGGCTGCCGTCGTGAGTCGCCATTGACCACCACTACCCGAGGTGGTAGTGGGCGGTGCCCCACTAGCAAAACCCTAATGGGCCTAGGAAACCCTAATGGGCTTAAGGACTTGGTTTTGGGCCTATTGGGCTATGAATGGGTTGGAAACCCTAATTAGGGTTTAGAAAACCCTAATTTTGGATATATGGGCTTTGGATCAATCGGGACCCGCACCAGAATCGTTTATTAAATTAAAATATTAATTAATAACCATTTGCAATCAACCTAAGGCCATGTGGGACGTAATGGATTAAGTCCTTAATGGGTTAAGTAGGGACACTTAACCCTAATCATCATTTTATGTGAAACCCTAATTTTCACTTGGGCCTTAAGTTGGGCCTTTCTATTGGGCCTTGATGATTGGGTTATCAATGGGCCATCCAATATCAAGCAAATGGACTAGAATAATTAATGGGCTTTGAGGTAAGGCCCATATGAGGAGTTGGACCCAATTTGGAAAATTGGGCCATAGTTTGGGCCTTAATGATTATATGATATTGGGCCAGTAGAATGTCAAAGGTTGGACTGGAATAAATGGTTGGGCCTTAGAGTGAGACCATGTAAAGGTTTGGGCCCAATTTGGAAAATTAGGCCATATGTTGGGCCTTGATTCACAGATTGACCTTT